CACTTGTTACTAGTAGCGATGCACTTGTTCCTAGTAGCTTCTTGTTACTACTAGTAAGGCACTTGTTACTAGTAGCGATGCACTTGTTTCTAACAAAAGAGTCCCTTCAACCACGCTACGTTTTAGACAAAGGCAGCTACTTTTTGGCATGTTATGCTTGGTCCATCCTCATCTCCGCACGACGTCCTTCTTCACTCGATATCCAAATCTCTCTCAACCACCAAACTCTCTCGCGATCCCCAACTCACCTCGCCCACCAAATAACCAAGGCCCAAGCATCTCGAGACCTCGTCTTCTGGAAAGGCCGAGAAGCATCGCAGCCAACCTAGGAGGTGTCACAATCCGCTCTACTACCACTACCACTACCACTAATACTACTACTACTACTCCTCCTACTACTACTCCCATTATTATTCCTACTCCTACTCCTACTCCTACTCCTACTACTACTCCTACTACTACTACTACTACTACTACTACTACTGCTGCTAGTCTACTATGGCCAAGAGTATATATATATATATATAGATGCACAACTTCAATTCCCAGCTCCAAGATCTGCATTTGTATAATGTGTAGCTTGAAGATCTGATTGATATTGATAAAAGCAAAAACTGACAACTTGACCTTGTCTATTGATGCAGCCAAGCAACAAGCGCAGTTTGACTTCCATACGTCATTTCAATTGCAGGGTGAAAGGGTGAGTGTAAACGTTTTCCTCTGCATTCCTGTCCCTATTCGTTCATGAACCGGATGAATGCACATCACCGGTCCATCTCAAGTTCCAACACATTGAGGCGTTCCCTCTTGGCATCAGGCCCAGCTGGACCATGCGCCAAAGAAGCATTCCCTTAGTGCAAAGCCCCATGTAATTGCTCCATCGTGTTCGATTGTCCATCTTCCACTGCAAGAGGCAAGTTTTGTCCTTGTTTGGACCAGTGACTGGTTGTTTGACATTGTTGGGGGGGATTCAACCAACTTCCAAATGAAACGAGAGTGTGAACCGATTGGGGCGTTGCTTGGACCGTGAATTCCTCCCTCGCTTCACCAAAGCAAGGACTGAGTAGAGGCCCAAATTCATCAGGACACTTGCTTTCTGGCTTTCATGCCAATTTGACTGTATCTTAATGTCTCTTTTTTGCTTTCTAAAATGGAGTTGAAAAATGTGAAACATCAAGACCAAAAAACCCAAGGACTGGGTGGTAGCCATCTTTCCACCAAACCCGCAGGTCAGGTGACCGCAGGTCTCAGTAAACATTATGTATATACATTATATACATGCTTTCTGCATACTCCACGCACATACAAATCAAAAAGTGTCTTTCACACTTGTATGATCCTCCCTAGACTCAAGCGAATGGCGACTCAAAGTGGGAGGATAATTGTCATTATTTGATGGACAAAAAAAGCACTGCAAACCCAAAACCTGTGGCCCCAATGAGGTCTGGATTGTCGTCTGCATCCCGTATTCGTGCAGAACCCACCACATGCTCGGGCCAAGAGCCAGTGCAATATGTATATGTACTGGCTGAGTAATTAATACGTGTCTTAGAAGACTGTATCGTGGGGGAACAATTCCAACTTGATCTTAGTTTCATCTGGTTTCCTTCAGTTTCCAACTCGGCCCCTTCAGGCGCTGGCTGTCCACCACACGGTTGCTCGTTGCCTCCATCACAGCGTGAGGCAGAAGACTTTTCTCAAACCTCTGCCTCCCAGCAACACCTGCAAATGATTTAAGAACTCCTGAATACCAAAGGCTAGAACCAAAAGAAAACACACGCGAACTATGGCGAACTTATGTGTCCCTCGGATAACACCCAATCTATATTTAGCCACACACGCTAAAGGGTCCGTCACGACCACGGGACCCAAAGGCCGCTGGGCGCCCTCGCAAGGATGCTCTTCACGCGTGGAGCCAATGCATGGTTTCCTGCAATGCATCATGTGAATGATGTGCAAGTCGTGACCCCAAGGGCTACAGCATGTTTGATATCATGTGTTTGCAGGACAAGCCATGATGGATGGCCACAGAGCTGTCTGCAAAGAACCATGTTGGTTGATAGGTGGAGATTTTGTAAAATACTCTGTAGGCATGGGCTTATGAATTGTTTTGCGTGTGTGAGCGTCGCAAAGGAGCTGGGAAAAGTGGCCCTTAACATCCGGTCTTGACACGCACAGGTGCTTCCAAAATCCACGATAAGTCGTCTAAAATAATGCAACTCTGCCAGTTGCCGATCATTTTTCTGGCTCAAATACATAGAAGGGGGTTTTGGTTGGCCATTCCGCCTTTGGATTCATGTCTCTTTACAGAATAAACCGAAATATATTTGGAATGTTTTAGAATGTGCAAAGAATTTCTCGAAAAGCAAGGCACTCCCCAATGAAGTGTCTCTCAATGGTCAACACCAGGCTCGTGTAACATCTGCATAGCGTCTCCAAGTTGAAAAGGCCGTGTGTGCCTAATCGCCATGTCTAACTCAGAAAAATGGGAATCTTGAAGTTCTAGCACCATTCTTGAGACATGAGACATCATCTTCCACCCACTGAGCCCCTCTGAGAATCAGGCCCACCCCCAGAGGAGAAGCGAACGATGCGGCGGTCCCGAGTGAACCTTGGTGCTTGACTTGAGCACTTGAAGGCTGGCTCCAAAAGCCAGTTGGGTCTCGAAACTAGGGACTCTGTGATGGCCAAATGGCAGTACGTGTGAAAAACATGTGTATACTGTATATATATATTATATATATATATATATATCAAATACATACACAGTATATACATGTGGTTGTCCAATATTCTTGTTTATTGAAACGGCCATTCTTCGCGAAAAAAAAATAACATTCGCGAAACTTTCGCGGTCCCTGTGTTTTTCTTTCGCGGGGGTTCACCATCTCTTGAAACCATTAAACCTTGTAGGGACTCGATTTCTAAATGCAAGTGCACGGAGTGTTTTTGGTTCAGCAGGAGGATGCTACAGACAGGAAGCTGGTGTTGGAGCAGAATTTTGTTGGCACATGTTTTCCTACATGTCTATCCATGGTGCAGTGCTACCACTCAAGCCGAGGATGCCTATAGCTTCTTCGTGCGCTGTTAAACAAGCTTTTCTTTAAGTTTGTGGGATTGCTATGGGCTACGGGGTTCCTCTGGAGCCGGTTCATTCGCCGAAACCTTCGCCAGACTTTCGCGAAACTTTCGCGAAATAATCCCTGTGCTTTGGATGTTTTTATGGCATACATAACATAGGGTGGACTACATGAAACAGGAAGGACGCTTCACACGGATTCCAAATTTGAAGCTGCTGACGGTCAGGAAAGGATGGGCTACTTCTCAATCCAAAAAAAGGAACTGGAAGCCACAACTGCAAACATACAATAAAAAAATCATACTTTCGCGAATCTTTCGCGAAAAATAATTAACATTCGCGAACTCGAAAAAAAACTTTCGCGAGACCCACGATCATGTCATCCAAGGCTCTCGACATTAAAAACCCTTACAAGGACCTTTTGGATATTTAAAAATATGTATAAAAATAACTCAATAATAAAACTCTGGAGGGCCAGGTAGGTGCTGTACTGATGGCATGGAGATGCTTGGGAACAATTGCGCAACGGATCCGGCCAGCATGGTCCTAGGTCCACCTAGACTTGAATTATTGAGCTTCGTTTCCCCTAAGGTATCGTCACCTCAAAATGCCTCAACTACATCCAGCCGCTTCATCATCTGGCCTAGCCGCCTAGCCTGTTCTTTCTCACTACTTGAAGTGGCGCTGCCACTTCAAGCTTGGACATTCCTTCAAAGTTGGAGAACACCTTCTATCCGTTGCCCCGTACCTCTTTTTATGTACCCGTTCATGACATGGCGTTCCTACAGCCCCCCTTCCATAGATTGAAGTAAAGTGCACAGGCAACTCGCCTTGAGGTGTGTGTTGCTTCAGCCGTCAACCTGTATCAAACCTATCAGACTATCATATCAGACTCTGGGACCATCCTGTGGAGTCAAGACAGCCAACTGCTTGACTGCTGCTTGACTGCTTGGCATTGACCAAGGCATTGGTATGACTTGTTTGACCATGCAAAAGCTTTGGTCCAACATGGTCCAACAATCCAGGATTCGGACATCCCCAACGAATGTTCGAAGTCTCACGACGGAGTGTCCCATTGTTGTTCCCCTTGATGTAACTGTTGCAGGCCTTCACTTGTCAGAACCAGGTTTAAGTCATAGCCTAGTGCTGTAGCCCACAATGACAGGTGTCAATCTGGCTTCCCTACTAGGATATCAGACTGACCATAGTTCCTCTATGCCTCAAATGAGAGCCCCAAATGAAATGCCACCTTCACAGCTGGGCCCTCTGGCCAACCACGCCCACAGCTGCAGCTGCAGGCTGTCCATTCCTGTGGCCGCTGAAGGTGATGTTCCTAAAGTTAAAAAAAGGAACTTGGAAATCACAGCCGCCCACCAATCACTAAAAGCGTATAAAAGCCTGGTATCTCCACTGCAGATTGCGAAATTGGTGCTGGGAGGAGAGTTGGTGTGGTGCCCGCTTCATTTTGTTCTGTCTTTCTGGCAGCTTCTCATATGCATTGCAGAAACAAACAAGCTGAAAGTATGGCCACCAAAGGCTAGTAGCGGCCCGGTGTCAGCTCTTCCCCGACCGACTCAAACTAGACTAGACCTGGTTCCAGTGTCAGCCCAGGGACATGGCCTTGAATGAGTCAGCCCCATGAATTCCTGCAGGTTGCCTTTAACCCATGACTCTTTTGGTCTTCGCGGGCTTGTCGGATGCTCACCTTTGAGCTCTCAAATCCTTCAAGATGTTGCGAAGCGAAAGCACCGTAGGTAGCTCACGGGCACCATTGGCTGTGAGATGTCATCATGGTCCTTGTCACCTTGAATCTTTAACTTCACCAACTTTCACTCAGCTTCCGTCCAGAGGACGTCCGGTCAGATCTGTAGTCTGTACCAACAACTTAGACTTGTGAAAATCCGTCCATCTCCTCGAGTTCAGATTCAGATGTCGCTATCTCCTCGAGGCTCCGCAAGGAAGCTCCAATGACAGCTTTGAGATCTGACACTCTTTCCTGAAAATCAAAAGCTGGACCTGGCCTTGAGGCAGGAGGGCGAAAAGGAAGCGAGACTTTGTGGGGTTCCTGTGAGATCCCTGGCACGGGAAGACCCGGCCCTTCGGACCGTGAAAATGCCGTTTTGGTCCTCCGTGGACGCTCTAGCCTGTCTGCTGAACCTGGGTCCACGAGTGGCTCTGGTGGCTGAGACAAGTCCTGCTCCATTTGCTCCAGCTGCTCCTCCTGGTCTCGGAGGTGGCGAAGCTCCCTCTGCCTAAGGAGCTCCAAGTCTCTTAAATCACTTTCTCTGCGATTGAACCGATCAGCTGCCGTGTCCCACGCAACCACCCCTCGCAGATGAGACACTTGGGACACCAGGTCCTCTGTCATCCGATTGAAATTTCTCTGCCGCTCTTCGACCTCTCCACGCAGGTGCTCGATCTGAGCCTCTTGGTCTGTGCCTCTCTGCCTCAAGTCCTCTTCCACGCGTGTAAGCTCTTGTAGTTGAGCCAGAAGAGCTTCAAGCGAAGCAAAAGAGGTACCAGCTACATGAAACTTCTTTAGCGGCTCCCGGAGCTCCGAGATCAACGATGAATCTCGTGCCTCCAACAACTCAGATGCTTCTTGTAGCTGCAAAATCTCAGAAGAAAGCCTCTCTGCAGTCTGCTCCTCCAAAAAGGTTCCGGTCTGCGCCAAAGAGATCCTCTCTGACTGGAGCTCTCTGGCCTTCTCACTCATTGCCCGCTGGGAGGCAGAGAGCTCTTGGAGCCTCTGGTTCAGCATCAGCTCCCCGTCGTCCTTTTCGGGTAGCGACGCTTCAAAGGCTTCACATTCCTCCATCTGCCGAAGGAGTCCATAGAGCAGGCTTTGCCTTGATTTCACCTGCTCTGCCGAACTGTGGGCCATGGCAGACAAGGCTTTCAAGTGAGCGCTTGCCATGTCACATTGCGCCTGCAAAGCAGCATTCCCATGAGACAAGTGCCGAATTTCCGTCGCATATTCTTCCAGCCTAACTTGTTCGGCAGTGTGGTGCTTGGCAGTCAGTGCTGCCCGAGCCATACGTGCAGTGACAAGCTCGGCACGAGCAGCTTCCAGCTCTGACAAGATTGCCTCTCGTTCAGTGTTCGCCATGATCCCAAGGATGACCTATGGCCGTGGTAAGGAAACGCAAAGTGCGAAAAAATTAAGGCATGCTGCTGCATGCTGGAGTTGAGCCTCGCTTGAGCCATCCAGACCCTTGTTCAAGCCAATAGCGAATTGTGTAGGGCCATGTAGGGCCTAAGAATGTTGACCCAAACCACCCATTCAAAGCAACCACAAGTGGAATTAGGTTGTGGGAGAAGAATTGAATGCAGCAAGAGGCTGCGCCGGTTCACACCATTTTCATCCATTTACAGTTGCGAGTACAACTGTTGAACCCTTAGCCTTAGATTAGATGGCATGCTCCCCAGCCGGATTAGTTCCCTGAGCTTCCCAGCATTCCACTGATTGAAGACACAGTCCACGCGAATTTCCTGCAAAGACCATGAGTCTCCAGCAAAGTTCTTTGCAATTGCATGTCACAAAACGGCTTCCACTTACGATACCCGGCCTCTGTGCCATGATGGGTCCATACTGTGAAAGTAATATGCCCAATGGAAAAGAGAATCCATACAGCGGGGACCTGCCTTTCTTTGCACAGTTTCCAAGCCCTCTAGCTTCCGAAACCTAAACGCCTCAAAATGCCACAAAAAATAAACTGAAGCTCCGTCCACCAGGCCTGGACGCCGCAAGGCTCCACCATGCGTAGAGGTCCAGTGACTGCCAGCCTTAAACGTCAACTCCGTCACATTGAGAGGTGGACTCTATCGAATAAAGCAAGGAGCAAAATGGAGCAACCAGCACTGTTTTTCGGGGTGAATGTGTTGACGCAAGCGTTATCTCAACCTGGTCACATGGTGACTGCTAAGTTCGCAGCCCTCCATGCGAAGCCTCCTGTGCGACCGAGCGGTGCCGCTCCCTGGCAGAGCAGAGGGTGTGCCAATAGGCAGCATCACTGCTGGCGTGGGTGAGTCGCGCTGGCAATTTTACTGTGATGTTCTCAAGTACAACTTTAATCTTCAAGAGGAAAATGGGAAATCCGATATCATTAGATGGGCTACTATGTTGCATGGTTGTTCCTCTTTACGTGTCAACAACTCTTGGGATCATAGACGATCTGTCCATGCGGCGCTCCGGTATATAATTGTATAGAGAGAGAGAGAGAGGGAAAAAAGAAAACACACACACACACACTTCCGTGGTTTCAGAGGTTGAGCAGCTCCCAATCTGAGCCTCTGCCCCTCAACGCAAGAACCCCACCTCAGTTCAGCACGTTCTTGCCGGCGGCTACATAATGCTACATCTGAAATCATGTCCAACGTCCAAGGTAGGCCATTCAGAATGCTTCCAAAGGAGCCGAGCAAGGCCGCAAAATACATAGAACCAATACATACCCAACTCTAACTAAACAAAAAATGAGAGAAGTCTTCAAGACCAAAGAAATGCCCCAAAGAAATACTGTAATGTGCCTGTGCTTGAACATGCGCGCTTATCTTAGTCTCATGCACTGCCTTTTGCCAGAGAAACCTACTCACTCTTGCACAAGAAGGGTGCCTTTGGGGTCTTGCCTTTGGAAGAACTGTTGCACGACTCAAAAAAAAAAACAATGTCGACATTGACATACTTTGTACCACCATACTCTGCCCAAGGTAGGTTCAAGGTCTGAGCTGGTTGTGATTGTACTTTCCCGCATTCTAAACATGTCCTGTTGAGGCAAAACTATATCAGAAATCTTGCATGCGAGTTGCCTCTCTACTTCCGGATGAAATGACTTGATTCTGTAGGCCCATTACTCACTTGGTCAGTGTGAAGGGGATGGATCAAGGGTTCGTTGCCGTTGCACTTTGCACGACCCAAGATGGTCACTCGATGGTCGTCTTCTACCAGCTCAAAAGCAAAGCGTTCACAGACAGGACCTCCACACCTGGCAGAGAAAATCCCCTGGCTACTCCGTGAATTGGAGATTCCAACGTCACAAGCGTTCGAGACCCTTTCCCAGTCTATGGCGCCCAGACCCAGACCAAGAGCTGAACATCGCGTTTTGCTCCAGTGACGGGGCGCCTGGCCGCCATGGCGTGGGCGGAAAGGGTCTCCAATTTTGACAGCAAAGCACTGAGAGAGTCAAATTTCCCTCCCCAAAGCTCCCAAAGCTGAGACATGAAATGTCACATAGAATTCCATGCAAACACTTTCCCATGCATGAGCTATGCTTCCCACACCAGCATTTGCATGCATCAACCCTAATCACCCTGGAGCACGGATCCCGGCATTCGGACTTGATGCAGGGCTTTGTGTCCTCCTGAGGCGATAAAACGGATATCAAAACCTCGGGTCTCGACTTGCGGCCCCTATCATCTGACAAAATGACGGCTCACTGCTGTACTTTTACTTTTCAGAACGTGTTGTCTTTTTGGGCACACTCTTTGACTCACGACTTGCCCAGATTGTGCATCGCGCGAGGGCAGATTGGCACTATCATGCACCATCAGAAACTGAACAGAAACCGGCAGCGCTGGACTTCCACATCCCAACTCAGCTCCTGTACGCCCAAGCAAGGCCTTCCACACTCGTTGTTTGGCTGCGCCAGGGCCCTGACACGGAGCAAGGATCCCCGGACCTAGCCTGTTGGCTGCGGCGCTTGAAGCTTCCCCATCCGATAAAACTTTGGTTCTACTACCGTCATGAGTCATGAATGATGGTATCTATTGCAAGGACTTCGCATGTGCAAAGAGTGGAGCAACCCTTCGCAATATGAAACCAGGAATGTTTGTTGCTGAAGGGTTCCCACTCCATCTGGGCACCTGTGTCTGAAGCAAAGTCCAGTACATCCTGACGGAAAGCAAACAATACCTGAGAATGCTAGTCTACAAGGACAGCCTTCCCTAAAGCTGTTAGGTGTTGGAATGCACTACTCTTGAGCTAACTCGCCTCTCTTAGAAGCAAGCACGGTTGTGGTAACAATGATGGATAAAAAGCTCCCCATGGGGAGCACGTTGAATTTTGTCAGCACTTTTGCTCGCTTTGCTCGCTATCAACCAATCTGAGAGAAAGTCTCGTGTCTTGGTCAGTCCTCCAGCATCATACCAGTTGCCCCACTCAGCAAACCTGCGTGGCTGAACCCTCCAACCACAGTAGCAAACGTGGGCAGCAAGCAATGGACCCGAACACAAAGCAGAAGATATTGCCTACGCCTACGCAAAAGAGACGTTGAGAGTCTAAAGTGTTCATTGCCCTCCCGGTCGCAAACACTGCTGGCAGAAACCGCTGGCAAAGAAAAGTTGCCTTCCCATCACCCTCCAACAGTTTACGTGTCTTTGTGCCGCTGCTCTCGTGCTTTGCTCCGCACCGTCCTGACTACAGTATGTCGAACTGATGCATGAGGAGAAGGAGACTCTCACATGAACAGATTGTGTGTGCTCAAAGGACCGAGTTTTCCCTCTGGGCCAACGGACTGACAGTCTTCAGGAGTACAATGAGAACACGAAGGGAGCTGGTCATTGCAAACATCCCTGGCACGGCCAATTGTGAGCATGGGTGGGGGCCTGTTCATGGAAGAAATCCTCTCATTGCTGGCGCGGTGTCACACACCAAGCACGTTCAGAGCAGAACAAACAAGCTGTCCAAGAACGTGGCTGGGTTGACCATTCCACTTCATTTCCGTTGCAGGCACGGCTGCCAGCCACAATCCAGGCAGTGTCCTAGAGTTTGGAGATGCTCGTGTCATTGACTCATCAGCAGAAAAAGGATTGCTCATGATTGCTCTGATAGCTCGGACATAAATAAGGGATCCTGTGAAAGTAGGTTCAAGGAAGGGAAATACTACGTGTATACAACATACACACACGTGGTGTGGTGATATATGCGCCACTTTGCTCAGTAGGATTGTGGGGAGCCACTCACGTGGCATGGCACTTCCCAAGTGATCTGCATTCGTTGGACCCTACTATGATGGCCACAAGAATTTATGTTCGCTTCAAGCTGGGAATTTGGGAGTCGTCTGCGACGCAGCAACGCGCTCTTTTTGCTGGCAACTTTCAGAGCTCATAAACCCATGTCCAGATGGACCTGGAGTTCATCGCGCACAAGAAATGGAAGCAGAGGATGATGGCAAGAGGCGTCTGGAGTCCGTGACAAGATGATGCATGTTTGAATGGCTATTCTGTGCTCTCAAGGTTGACATAGTCTAGGCAATCTTCATGAAAAGCTGCAGCTATATGCCTATGGGGATACCAAGGCCTTCTCATTCTGGTAGCTCCATTTGACATGCCACACTTGTCCGCAAACCAGTTTCCCCTAAAACCTCAACTTTGTCCACTTACATTCGCATCCAACTGAAGAATCCTGCTTAGCCGCTTAAACATCCACTGATTGAAAGTTTGACTACACCACAAACGTGCGACAGCATATGCGCACACTCGCATGTGTCCAGATAGAGTTGAATATCCAGCCTTCAAAGCAATAAATGAATGAGTCCACACAGTTCTTGAATGATTGAAATTCTGAAAGTGCTACCAAAGCGACATATATACATATATGTAGGTGAATTGAGTTGAGTTGAATTCAATCTGACGGCTAGTGTGGTGTGTATATATATATATATCTGTAATCTGTATGTATCATTTGAAAAGTGGCTGTCTAGATTGTTTCAGCGTTTTTCCCTTCAATGCGAATGACAAGTTTTTGGATTAATCACCTGCACCCTAACCCTAACCTTGACCTTATTTGTTGAGTATGATACAGTACCATCAAATCATACCCAAAACCTTCCAAAAACGTCATCACAAACGGAAAACAAAACAGGTAAAGGAATGTACGTGATCACCCCAGACATCAAGAAAAGTCCTTGGATTTCTCTGGTGTCTACATGATGTCACCTGCCCCATCTTCAGCGGAGCCACAATCGGCTGTCCAACCCAAAAGCCTTGGGTGCAATGCCAGGGCACTTTCCACACCGCAGAAGCGCACGAACCAATCGGTGAAAAGGTTCCTGCAGTCACCACCAGTGCCACATACAGTAGGTCGCAGGAATGGCTACTAGGAGCAAGGACGCTACTAGGGGCTCCTGGCCGTACTACTAGGAGCAAGAAGCTACTGGGAGCAAAGGGCATCGCTACTAGGAGCGATCGGACGCTAGACAGGCTCTTCTGCCGTTCACCGTGTCACCAAGGATCGATGTCCTATGCATCTCCGCAATGCCCAAGTCCGCGAAGAGCAGCGGATCGAGACGCTTCCGGGCATCTTTGTCCTGGGCGGCGGTCAATGGATCGGCCAAATCAGGAAGGTGTCGTTGTCCAAAACTGTACACCGTGAACAAGGTGCAAATTGATGTTGTTCTATAGTGTTCCTTGTTTGGGGGGCTTGAACTCTTGAGGTGCGGGAAGATTCAACCGCAACCACGGGGAGTGGTTCGCATTTCCCCTAAAACAGGATACCAAGCAAGCTTTGCCGAACCGCCAACACAGTGATATGCCTGCCAAAGTCACCTAGTCGATTGAATGGTTTCATAGTTATACTTCCCAACAATTTGAAAAGCAAAAAGCGAATCAAAGACCATCAAGGCTTTATTGAGGTAATGCGGCATTCTGGGGACACATGAAAACTTCTATGCCTGTCAATGTTCCCTGCATACATTGTCAACTTGTGAAAAGTTCCTGCTTGAACTACCAGGACCAAAGGACGATTCATGCCAACCGTTGTACTGTCGTATCAAGATCCTATCATTGCTCTGTCGTATCGAGATGTCGCACATGATGATCGAACCTGCCCGGGCACTTGGACTGTCCCGTGGCCGATCATTGAGACTCTTCCTAGTAGCGTCCTTGCTCCTACTAGTAATGGCCTCCACCCTAGTAGCTTCTTGTTAGTAGCGATGGCCTCCAAC